CAAAAGATCTCGGATAACGCCAGTTTCTGTCCAGTTTCTGTGCGACGTTGTGCGAAAATGTGAGGCACAAATCCAGTTTTTGTTTGGGATTTGTGTGGATTAACCAGCAGATTTGCCCCGTGTGATAACGTCCTATATATAAATGAAAGTCTCCCCCATGATGCATCGATCCTCTGATGTACCTGTGCAGTTGAGCCAGGTAGGAGAGGAAAGAGGAACAGGTGAGAAAACAAGGAGAGTGAGGTAAGATAGGCTGTTTGGAATATTGGCATGGACTTTTGAGTGCTAAGAAAGGGTGACTGGTTTTTTTTATCTACCTAGATAGGAGAGCAGGTAAAGCAAGAAAGCTACTGCAGTCTTGGCATTGCTGGAAGGAAGGGATTTCCTTTGCCTGTTCAAAAGGAGGAGCAGGAGCGGGGGATGAAGAAACTAGAATCAAGCTCTAATATGAAGGAAGGGGTTCCTTTCTTTAACTTCTTAAAAAAGTGGTTCCCAACTTTAGGTCCTCCATTTGTTTTGGACTTGAGCTCGCAGAAGCCCCAGCTAACGTAGCCAACAGTCAGGAATTATGGGAGCTGAAGTTCAAATCATCTGGAAGACCAAAGATTGGGAACCATCAGGGTGTCAGTAAGGAAGTGCGGAAGGGGGGGGTTCAGACTGCACTGGGTGACACTCAGAGTGGAGTGAACACTTGGTGAGGCAGTTGCTCACTCTTCAGCCCAAGACACCCTCTGCTAGCCAGGGTGCCTCTGCCATTCATCAGCTGTGGCCATGGGTAAGGGTGCTGATGCCCGGATCCCATTCCGGGTCTGGCAGGGCTGTTGGCCAGGCCTGGAAAGGGAGGTATTGGTAGGGGCAGGGACAGCGGTGGCCATGGACTCCTCCCCTTCTGCAAAGGGAAAGGTGTCTGTGGCTTCTCCTGTACCACCATTGCCTCCCTTTCTTGTCTGGCCAGCAGCCCCACCAGACTTTCAAGGGGCTGCCTGGCATAGCGGAACAGCTGGGATGCATGTGCGTGTGTGCCAAGCTGGGGTTGACAGCATGAGTTACCGTACTGGGGTGACACTTACTATATTGGGGAGCATGAGGAGGAGGAAGAAACTGGAATCTTAGGAGAGTTTTGCAGTGGTTAGAAGGGTTTTTCTTTGCTTGCTGAGGTAAGGGGTGAACAACTAGAGTCTGCTCTCTTCACCTGGCAAGCTAGTTGGAGAGGACAGAGCAAGAGATGTGCTGCCTTTCTCTGTCCTGATATGCTTTCTCCACCTGGGAAAGCTGCTGGCAGACTAGTTTCTTTCTGTGTACTCCTCTGAAA